GGCAAGCTGATGTGTTGTGTCTGCAAGAGACTCGCATTGGCAAGAACAATGTCCGATCTGCCTCCTTTGAGTTCCATGAAGCTGGGTTCGAACCAGTCCTTGGTCCCCTTTTGCCAGGTATAATCCACAAGAAAGGTTGGACCCAAACCCCCTGTGGAGGGACTGCCATCCTGGGCCCCAAAGGAGCCACGAGGCCTTTCGATCCCAAAGAAGATGTGACAGGTCTGTTTCCGACCATCATGGATACCAAACGCTGTGCCTTCGCCTGGATACAGGTTACACCTATTCATACGGCCCTTGTTGTTTCGGTTTATGCCACCACCGGTGCATCACAGGATGACCAGTTGCATTCAAACAATGATAGCCTTTTCGCGAACATACTCGATGTTACGGCACAATTTGGTTCCATCCCCGTCATAGTGGCCGGGGACTTCCAGGCCACACCTCTGTCATACCCTTCGATCGCAGCCGCCGTCCTGGCCAATGGTTGGTGTGACCCATTGACAACACAAGATTTTGAAGGGCTGCCCGAGCGACCACTTACCTTCTCCCGTGACGGCCTTTTTTCCGGTGTTGGCGAAGGGTGTTCGTCTATCGATGGGATTCTTCTTAATCGGCAAGCTCTTTTTGCGCTTCAGGAGTGCGAGGTCTTGAGTACCTTCGGTCGACAGCACAGACCTGTACGATGTTCATTCTCATGGAGATCCCTCTCCATTATGGGTTTTGTGCATTATAAGGCTGCCTGTTTTGACCTCACGAACATTCCGCAGCACCAAAGTAGGTCACCACAGTCACATCAAGGCCCCATCCCACCCCCACTCCCGTGGGACGCCTCCTGGGAGGACAAGTTCTCCTCATCCGACAACCCGGATGTTCGATGGGATGTGATCAATGATTTCTGTATTCAATCCCTCTTGCATCGGGGTGCATCTTGGGGACCAGGCCCCCAACACCGGGCAAAGCCCCCCCCAATTTGTTAAGAAGACATTCTGCCCTCGCCAGCAAGCCAACCACTGTGCGGCCACCCGTCGTTCGACCATGCTCTACAAGCTCCGGAGCCGGTTGGAAGAACTTCATGTCCGCAGATCACGTGGCTGCAGCTCAGACCAGGACTGGTTCATTTTCCGTCAGACAGCAGATAGAGTCAAACGGAGCCTCACTTCACTGCAGGCACCTTGTGAATGGCCCGATGCATCTCATATCACACTCGTTCACATTTGCACCGCTAAAATGTGGGTCGACAACACCACACAAGAACATACCCACAGTCTTAAGTGCAATAGGATCAATACCTGGAAAACCCGCATCAAACATGCCGCTCACACCGGGGGCAGTTATATCTTCCGCTACCTGCGGCAACGATTGCAAGACGAGCCACCCAACTTAGTCCAAGATGAACTAGGCAACATTTTATACCAGCCTGACAAAGCTCTCGATTGCTTGAACTCCAAATGGGATTCAGTCTATGGGGTCAATGCTTCGCATGAAGATCCCATTAAGATTTTGCAGACCATTCGGCCATATATTGACAATCATGTCCATTCTGCGTCTCTGCCCCCCATTGACGCGGAATCCCTGTTTCGGGTCATCCAACGTAGAAAGAAACAAGCCGCTCCTGGCTTAGACGGGTGGCGAACAGTTGAGCTTCAAGCACTACCTGTTCAAACCTACGAACCAATTGCTCGTTTCTTTCAGTGGGCCGAGGACACCTTTGGCAATGAGCTTCCACACATGCTCACTTGTACTAAGCAAATAATCCTCCATAAACCCGGGCCCAATGACGCCATGAATAAGCGGCTTATTACCATCATCCCCGCTCTACTGCTCGCCTACACTGGTGCTCGTTACGAGCAGTTGCAGTCATGGCAAGAGGCCACAATGCCATCTTCGATCATTGGTGGCATCAAAGGTCGCACCATGCCGCTTTTGCACACGGCCCTGCGGCTTGATATTGACACTGCCCTGCATGCCGGCCAAGATCTAATCGGCGTCAAGCTCGACAAGGCCAAGTGCTTTGATCGAATCGTCCCTTCGATAACATGTGCCTTGTTTTTGGCCCTGGGTCTCCCCAAAGGTTTTGTCAACATTTTCGCCAAAATGTATAGGGGTTTCCGGAGGCACCTTTGCTACAAGGGTTGGATGAACCCATATCACACCACTGCAGCCAACGGTGTAGCCCAGGGTTGCTCCTTATCCCTTATAGCAATTAACGTCCACACCAAAGTCTGGATCCACATGCTTGAATGTTTGCCTGAAATCACAATCAAAGCCTATATCGACGACGCATATTTATGGGCTCGCATCCACAACATTGCGCTCCTTTCACAGGCTGTGCAAGCTACCAAGCTGTGGGATATGCTTATTGGACAGAAGCTTAACGATGGTAAGTCCATTGTGTGGGGTACTTCCACTTCGGCTCGCCAAGCTGCACGGGACACCTTCCCGGAGATGAAGCTTGCCTTGACATTTGATGCCTTAGGCACCCGTATCTACACATCCAACAAGAATGATTGTGGATTGGATGATAAAACCTTACAACAGGTTCTCGCTTCGGTTGAGTGTATTGGGGCCCTACCGATCCCCCTTAAAGTCAAAGCTGCACTAATTGGAACAAAAGCCATCCCTACACTCACCTATGGTGCACACATTTCTTGTTTGCCCAAAGCTGCTATCCAGCGTGTTCAAGGGGCAGTTGTCAAGGCCCTTTGGAAGAATCGGCCGATCGCTCGTTCCAGATGGCTTGTGTTGGCTTTTCACGGACAACCACATCGGACCGATCCTTCCTTGGCCAAAGCCTATAATTGTGTTCTTGAGCTTTTTAGGTTCTGCTTTCGAACTCCAATGACTGTTCAGAAACTCTGCACGCTTTGGGAAGCTGGAATGAAGCACAAACACTCTCTTGTTTCTTGCTTCGCACATGCATGTGACACCCTGGGCATTCAGGTCGACTCACAGCTGCGGATCCGATTTCACCATTCCGCTCCGCTCCAGCTGGGTGAATGCGCCCCGCGTGATATTGCTCCAGCACTCCAAGAGATTGTTTGCCAGTGTGCATACACCCGCGCCACCTCCACCACTCGGAAAGACTTTAGCCCGCCGACAGGTCTCCTGGACCTGCATGCCTCAACGATGTTTGCCCGCAAACCGACCTTTGCCACGCCAGAAGGGCCCTCATCCACCATCAGGTTTGAATCGGTCATCGTTGGCTGCACACTCACTAGAGACCGTCTTGCCGCGGCAGGCTGGTGCGACTCAAACACCTGCAGGTTTTGCGGTCAATCCAAAGAATCTTTGTACCATTTAGTTCATGAATGCTCTGCCTACCATAATGCTGCCTCCCCACCTGTTCTTCATGAACTTGGACCAAATTTTTCACTTTTAGGGCACGTCGAACATCCTTTCCGCCTTACCGCTTTTAGGCTGCTGCACAGTACAGCACGGGTAGACGAAGCTGCAGTCTTTGACCCTGCCGCTCCCTTGCAGGAAGTTTGGACAGACGGGTCTGTTCTTTGGCAGGAAAGCTTTTGGCTGACAACAGCCACATTCGCTGTCATTGACCAGTTTGGGCATGCACTTCGAGTGGGTAGAGTACAACGCTGGAACCTTTCCAGCTTTGTGGCCGAACTGTGGGCCATCTGGATCGCATTTTCAAGCAGTGAAGCACCTGTCCGCATTTTCTGTGACAACCAAGCCGTTGTGCATAATGTCCGGTTTTTGGTCCAACATGGGGAAGTTCAACCACACTGGAAATGCCGTGATTGGTGGTTGGCAATACTTGAATTGCACCGGTCTAGATCCCAGTTACATTGCTCGCCGTTGGAAGCACACTGGATACCAGCACACCTCTTTGAGAATGTGCCCAACCACCAGTTGTGCCCCGTCAAAGCTGCCAATGCAGGAACTACGGTTCAGCACATCATTAGAAATCGTGATGCTGACCATGCAGCAAGGACACTGGCCGCCCGCATTGCTCCGGTGTACCCACACATGGCGCGGGCCATGCAAGCTGCAGCGACATTACACCAGGAGTGGCTAGTCCGACTTCATGCCCACCTTGACACACACGCTGAGGTTTCCGTGCCACCCAGTCTTGACATTCCTGCGACTGTTGACAACTTTAACATTGTGGATGCGCGCAGACAATTTCCCAAGTGGGATTGGACGGCAGTGAAAGCTCTACATAGCTGGAAACCCAAAATACCTGATAAGCTTGCTCCGCCAAAACGCTGGAGATATGCGCAGGCTGAGTGGCATGAGATCTGCAGGTTTGCCCGTTCCCTCCGCTGGAAGATTCAAGCCGGCACGGCTTCAAGTTTTTGTGAGATCGCCGTTCTGTTCCATGCAAAGGGATTCAGATGTGAGGGTGACTATGAATCAATTACCATGCATTCCATTGTCTGCAAGATCAGACAAGCTTTTCAATTTTTCTCCAAGGATGTACATGTTGATGCCTTTCCAGGCGACTTTAACCCAAGGTTTGTAAAGTCAGCCGGCAAGGTTCTCCCACAGAGCGCAATTGTTGGCGCTGTTCCCTTCATGGAGGACGATGTCCTCTTCTCTCTTGCAAAGGCATTGAATGCCGGCGCGGGTCGCACCATTGACTCTTGGCGCGTCCCTTTCTGCTTTTAGCTGCTAGGGTCCTATCTTTTCTGTGCAGGGGGTTCTTGTATGATCGGTCCAGAGCGACCGACATACCGCTGACGCTTTCAGATTCGTCGAGCGCGAGTGGTGATATAGAGTGATCCCATGTGATCCCCGTATATAAATGCAAACCAAAGAGATTGGAGGAGGCATCAAGCCAAGGGATATCGTAGGCGCAGGCTGAAACACCTTCTTGACCTGGAGTAAGTGCTACCACCTATCACCCGGTTTTTTGAGCCGGTCAGGCGCAGGCTGAGCCTATTGCGTCCGCTTCTTCATCTCAGCTGACACATACCCTCCTCCCACCCGCGGATGAAGCCTGCATCCTCCTCCCCCCGTGGATGCTTGGATCCGCGAACCTTCACGTAGTCAATGTCGAAGTAGGCCTGGCCAGAGCAACGCACGAGGGAACAGGCCGGTGGTGAAATGGCGGGAGAAAGGCCAAACATCACAGGTCAATGTGGACCAAATATCTTGCACTGCCTATTCCCTACATCACGATTTTTTGTCTAGTGGGGCATCCCCTCCAGGGAGGCACAACGAACACGATTTCACAGAAGCCAGAAAAGGTTTCTCAAGCTTCTGAGGTTTCCCAACAAATTTGAATTGTATGAAATGGAAGGGTCGGATAAGAGGCCCCGGACGCTCCGTCTGGACCTAAACCCCAGCTGCCCAGCTGTTGGATCGTTCAATCAATTTCCGCTCCTGCGTCTTGAGAGGCTCCTCTGCCGATGGGTTGGACATGTAGATGGTACAGCAGTCCTGGAGACGATGCGCCACACCCAATGCCATGCACTTGGATGAACCGCGTGGGCAGGTGAGTCCGTTTCCAACGGTGTGGTTTTTCGCGTTCGATGTCATGTGGGTGTGAGGAACTAACGAAACACTCCCAAAACCACGTGAATCCGCGGACACATGCGGACACAGCTTCTGCTGTGTCCCCAATGCCACAAAGTAATTAGAGTTGGCCGGCCCGGCCCCACTCATCAGTTTCCGGTGTTTGGAACGCAGGCAATGTGCTACTTTCAATCAAGAAAGGGTATCGGTATAGTGTTGGCCCCTATCGGTTTTGCAAGGGTTTGATCAATTGAGAAATACTCAAGACGGCTCATGACTCATGACTAAAGTATAAGTTTAGTTGGATGCTAACAGGTGTGATATGTTGATTGACAATGATTTTCATACGCAAATAGATTAGGAATAGCGGTGGTTTACACGTATAACACATTAAATCACAGCCAACCAAACTTGAGTCAGCCATTGGATCCAAATGGATTGGTATATAACTTTGTTCCAAGAAGCTGTACAAAATCTTATGAGGTGGAAGATGCAGAAACCAAACCCATACAGCACACCTCCTGTATACCATTTGCAAGCAATCCAAATGAGGGCACCCTCATGTTGGTGCTGGATAGTGGTATTATGTTGGATATATATATATATATTGATACTTGTTGACTGACACCCGACACTGTTGACCACTGAACGTGTATAGACCATTGGAGCATGGTTTATCTATGGTTTGGCTCGGGCAGGCTTTTGACCTCACTGCCGTCCACCTGACGTCCACCTGACCGCTTGCGTTGCTCGGTACGCCCCGCTCCGTGGCCGGCTCGGTGACGTGTCCCGGTATGCAGTAGTTGGGAATGAAGCCTCGAAGCACCGGGGAAGGCCGGATGTGCGGAAGGGTGATGGTGGAGGGGCCCAGACCCAACGGCTTCTGAAAGAAACCCTCAACGGAACTCGTGTTGACGCGAGTTGATGCGTTGGGAAGTAGCCAAGTACACACGGCTAGGTGGATCCTTGTGGATACACCTGGACACACATCTCTTTGGCCAAATGGGAGTTTTATAGGGTCTATGTTCCTTCTTTCAGGGGTTCGAACAGACAGAGGTCTCCCGGATCCGTATTTCAATACACATCCAAATAGCATGACAAAGTTCTGCTGGGACACTAACTTCCATACCACTCTTTTCAGCAAGGCGGGCAGCAAGTTCTCCCCTGACCCACACCATGCGAGTCCAGATTCCTTCTGTTTCGCATCAAACACGGCAAAGAGCGAACACCCTGTGGTTGGGGTTCTGGGAAATCAAGGATGTCAGGGATTTTTGGGAGGTATGCGCATGTAATCGCATGTATGTACTTTCACAAGGCGGGGAAAATCTGGATGCTGAGAATTGCCCATCTAATAACCATAGTCCAGGGTACAGGGCTTGGTTGTGTGTCCAAATTCGTTCATGAACCTCGTCATTTTCTGACCTGCAAGCCTTGCGTCAGGTGGATTGCATTCACTCTTCAGTCCATACGGAACTTCCAGAGAATCCATACCGTGCACCGGTGCTTATCAGCCACCAAACAACCAAGAACCACAGGTTGTGTCTAGTTTTAGCACCCATGTTACCGCTACAAACCCAGAAGTCAACCAGTGAAACATAGTGAAACTATACACCGTTTGGATCTTTTTGGTGTTTTTTGTTTCTCTGATCCAGCAACCTGGGCTTGGACACCAGCCTGAGAGTTGATTGGACGAAACCACTCTACAACGTCCGACATCCCCACCCAGAAAAAAAAAAAAACAAACACGATACGATCAACGACTCAACGGCTCATCATAATATATCATCATCCGCCGACCCAACCGCGGACAGCAGGGGAGCACTGAAAAGAGAACGAACACACGGAAGGAGCAGGAATACTGTGGCGCAGGGCCGGGTCTCGCGCAAACCATGTTTTTACTGGATCAGACATGTATAATGCTACACTGGGGGGTCTGCTTGGGGAGGCCCGTTTGGGAGCAGAGCGAAGGGAGGCTTTGGGAGGCTTCGGGGGCTGGAATTGAGGCTAAGGTCATGTTTTCGATTGTATCCCTTGACCTGGACCACACACCCAAAAACAAAAAACAATTATTTTGAGGTGGTCACACCACCTCTGTTATAAATATTCCTGGGAGAGTCATACCCTCTCAAATAATTTGATTAGTTTCTTTGGTTTCGTGTAAGACCTCCAAACTTGGAAGATTTGGAAGATTCTGAGGGGGGGGTCCTGGGCACATGATTGACGTGTTTCACAGTCAAACGTTTGGAAGGGTACGCGGCTGCAGCGGCTGACCATGCTTTTGCACCATCTGCGCACAACACAGAACCCACCCGAACATTCCGAAGCAAGCCAAACGTCATTTGCCCCCCCTCCCCCCCACATGTAACTGAACATCAACATGTTGGTCAACAAGCATGAAAAAAACCGTCAACATGAAAAAACTGCACACCTCCGAGGGGCTCGTATGGCTGTGACACTGACACTGACACTGACACCACCACCACCACCACCAACAACAACAACAACAACAACAACCAACACCGACAACGATCACGACCACGACCATGACCACAACAACAACGACAACAACAACGTCAACAACAACGAACAACAATCAACAAGCAACAAACAACCACCACCACAACAGCAGCAACAACGACACCAACAGCAGGCACGAGGACCAACTGGCTCACATGCCAGCTCCCACTGCACTTTTTCCAGTGTTAGACAGCTCTCCCGACCTTTCACAGGGAGTTGCTTCTGTCAGGGCGGTCATCCTCCCATGCACTTGCTGCTTGCAGCTTCTTGCGCAGGAGGCTGCCTGGGTGCCACTGGGTGCCCTACGCCCGGGCCCTTGTTTTGCCAATAGAGGACTTGGTTTGCCCCAACAACAACAACAACAACAACAACGACAGCCATAATTATAACCACCACGACCACAACAACTACAACCGTGTTCACGTGTTTGCCCCTGCCGCCTGCCGCCTGCCAGACCCTTGTGACCTGCTGTTGGGCGTAAGCCCCTTAAGGCACAAAAGGACGAAGCTCCATCGTTTCCTACACACAGTGAATACCGGCAAGCCAACTCACCTGCTTCACACCCCACCAAAAGAACAATTTCCAATCGATTCTCGACCTTGGGAACCCCAAAGTGTCATGTTTCTTCTGTTCGTCTTCACCATCCATCTTCCCAACTCAACCTTTTCGTCTTCACCATCTTCAACCTTCTCAACCCTTCAACCTTCTCAACCCTTCAATCGTTGCTTTCGTTCTCTCTTTAAGGGCTTCTCTCCCAGCTCACCGAATGTCCCCAGCTCGTTGAACTCTCGATCGCGGCCTGTATTGCGGCACTCCTTGCAGGTCCACCACCTGGCGGACAGACTCACCGATGGAAGTCATGGATGTGGAGACACCAAGTCACCAAAGGTATACAGACTCCAAAAAGAAAAATATAAAATTGATATATATATATATTATTGTACAATTATTGTATATATATAGTATTGTATTATATTTATACATATATTGGCTCAATGGCCCTGTAACTGTATCAACACGTGTTGAACATACACATACGTAGGCTGAACCTCCATGGTGTCCTAGGATTTTCCATCCCAAAATCGGCCCAAAGGGGGGTCATCGGTCATCTGACATCAGGGGAACTACAGCCATTTCATGCCTTCCCCATCTTTCGCTCAGGGCAACGTCACCTTAACTTCAAAAGGGATTGCAGAACCAGACCATCACTCCCCCAAGATTTGGGAACGCTGTAACATTCTTGTGTCATGTCCACTGAGTGGACGTTCACCCCTATCCCACATGAACCCCGACAGGGAACTGCAGGAAATTAGACCTTCAACTTCCACCACTAGGTACGTGTCAATGGCGTGCACCGGTATTCCAGTGTATCAAACACATGCCAAAAGCCACGAGTTGCCAGCCCAATCACCTCAAACTCCGCAGCTTCCGGGCGAGCACTCTGGGACGCGCAAGGGCACAATAGCTTTTGGGGCTCTGTCTCTGTGTGTGTGTGGCTATATAGATACTGTATAGATACTGTATTATTACTATATATATATATGTGTTTCTCGATAAACAACAATTGGACCATACAAATACAGCCTGTCCACTTGGTGTGGCTGGAAGACAGTGCACTCCTGAACTGGAGTCCATCGGCGGCTGGGTTGAACAACTTGTTCTACCAGCAATTGAATGGCCAAAGGAGTGTCACATAGTTTGAGGGCCTTTAGGCATGGTGCCCTGACATGGAGCCCAGTGATCTTTTGATTGAATTCCCCTCAACAAAGGAAATATGTAATGAGGAGAACACAAACAACAAACACGCCTCATTTAATACATATATAGTATTATATAGTGAAGAAACTTCAAGAAACATACTATGATCCTGTGTGCACACTTCTCCCCATATTGCACCTTTCTCCCCATAGTGCCCCTCACTCAGGGAACCCCTCCGTGTATCATGACTTTAGTTGTTCCAAAGAACAAGACAAGACTTATAACTGCATAAATTTAGTCTTCAATGTTTCTTCTAGCATCTACATACTGCTATTTGGTTCCTGTTAATGTCTTTTGCCTCCCGGACTCCTAAACCCCGGCTTTATTTCACCGAACGGCCCACGGCCTGGCACAAGGGGCTCCCACCGTCTCCGGACTCGACAGCCCCCGCCGCCGACGTGGCGTGCCACGGCACCGCAGAGCGCGATGTTGATGACGATCTCTTGGGGATGCGCAATGTTCACCTGTCGAGTTCGGCAGACGGACTGGTCAGTCATTGGACTGGGCCGGGCCATTCTATGTAGCTTTCCCCGAAAAAATAGAACAATAATAGTAATAAAAACATGCACATGGCAGGTCGCACCGGAAGGCGACGATGCACAAATGCCAGTTGTTTGCTATCTTTGTTTTAGGAGAATTTTTCTTTTGGGGCCTGTATAAAGTGGAAGAAATGGGAGGTTTCCAGAGATGGGTGGAAGGTGAAAGACATGGAGATGGTATGACAACGTATGACATGTTTTGGAGAATGGATGTGTTACTTGCTCCATGTTGCTCCAGCAATCCGATTGAGGGCCGCGGTGCTTTCAGCCGCAGCACATCGGTGTTGTACCTCTGAGAAGCGCAACCCGCCAGCGATTCTGGGCGCCCCCCACGCAGGTCTCCGGGTCAAAGGGCATGAAGGCCATCCTCCAGGCAGAAGGCCACGTGTTCCTTGTAGCTCTGGGATCATGGCGGTGGGCGGGTGGGACGCGACATCGTCAGTAGTGACGAGTGGGATGAACACCGGATACTGTGGATTCCAATTGATGACGATGACAATGATGACGCAAGACTACTGGTGTATACTGTTTTGTAGATGCCTCTTTTCAAGATGGTGGAGGGCACCACACATGTGAGGAGAGGGGCGATCGCTAAACGCACCGGCCGGGCGGATTGGACTCTTCCCCCCTGGCTTAGCTGTTTCTGACATGCCACTGCACGGCCCAAGAAGTGGTCTTATAGGACCCCCTATAACTGGCCCCAATTCGAGCATGACCATCGAATAGCAACACTGCCAGGGTGGTGCTGAGTTGCTAAGACTGTTTAAGGTTTTGGCAACAACATGGGAAGACTGTTTCGGTGAGAAAGTACAAGTTCCCGTCCCTGCACATCCTGCACGGCGCCCCGACGGTTGCGGCTTCTCCGCCTTCAAGTCCGCGGGGATCTGCCCCTGGACCAACGCGCTTGGCGTCAGTGCCCGGCTTCCATCTGCATCAGGGATGCTTCTGGGTTAAGACATCAGGGATGGCCGAAGTATACCGCCAAAGACTGGGTGCATTGCTGTATTTTTCGGGGTGCATGTGTGTGGGTGGGTGTGTTTTCGAGCTGGAACTGGTTCTTTGTCTTTGTCGACATGCAAGCAAGGAGTTTTGATAGAAAGTGTAGGAACGACTTCAACAACGCGACCTGAACTAGCTCCTGAAAGTTATCTCATGTTATCTCCATGCACAAGCTATTTACCACATGCTCGCTGGCACTTTGCAAATCGATGAACGAGCTCGGATGATGCAGTCTCTTCGGTCCATGCGCAAAAGAACATGTCCGAACGTGCCAAGAGAGGTTGAACAGCTCCTTTTTCGCCCATCCCATATGTACCACTACAGGGTCCTAGTTCTGGTCTCTCAACCTCTCTTGGTGATTTGGATGCATCACCTGGGCATTGCACGTGCGCGATACAAAGTTCAACATTCATGGACGTCCTTCTGGTATGTTTCTTCGCGTCGTGCCACTGAAATCACATGCGTTCAGCACCTCATGTGCGTCGTGCCACTAGGATGGAATCATTCAGGTAGTCAACACCACCCCCAGAACATCTCAATTTCGGTCCATGTCGTAGAGCGTCAGCAAATAGGCTATATAACGAATGGTTTTTGAGCGCCCCAAGAATGGACCATCCTTATCACAGTAATCCACTCAGAATAGAAACTGGAGACTGCACAGGCACAGTTGTAAGATGTGGTAACTGATTAGCAGGAATTAGAACTGGAATATTAGAGTATTGTAGAGCAATGTTGTCGAACTGACTCACTGCTTGCACAAGAGATCCAACGCTATGAATCCACCCAAACAAAACACATGTGAGAGGCGCCCTGTCCGTACAACAGGACGTGTTTCATGGCCTCTTTCAATGTTCGGAGCCGTTTCTGTTGAAAGGATACTGCAGTCCCTCACACATTACTTCTGTGACACCCTGGAAAATTTAACATGGGGCTGTAAAGGAAAAGTCGTCTTACAAAAGGTCCATGCCATCAGGTTCCATGTTAACCATGGGGGGAAGGGACGTACCCGTGTACCCTTTCTTCTTCAACCGGCCCTGAAGGTGCCGTCCGGTCGCCACGGTCGTTCGGTTCCCCTTCCGGTCCGACCAAACGGTGGTCGGGGTGGACCTTTTGAGCCCCCGGTCTTCCGGTTGGACCAAAGTGGTAAGGGTCGCCACCAACGGCCAACTCTACCAAAGCACACAATTCGTTTTCTATGAAGCCAGTGACCCATTTCCCCTAAAAAAGAACGGTGCATGTTTCCTTTTGGCAGTGCACTCATCACCTCATCCCATCTTATCCCCACCGCGCTCCACACCCGCGCATGCGTGCCAGCCAGCGCCTCAGGGATGTGGAAGGTGGTGATGCCACTGGCGTCCCAGACCGTCACCAGGACACCGGGGTTCTTGCTGTACCTCGGCGCTGCTCCGGGTGCGGAGGGCCAGACTGCGCGCGACGAGCGTCGCGGCGTGAAAGCTGGCGGGTCCAGTTTTCAGGCATCGAGCGAGGTGGCGGTGGCATGGTCCAAGCACTGATTGGAAGGATTACACCCGGGAAAATTGATTATCATGGAACCTGATGGCATGGACCTTTTAGAAGACGATTTTCCTCTTCAAACATCTATAAACAGATGGTTTTCAGGTCCCATGTTAATCTTCCAGGGCAGTAAGTCAAGGAGGAAAGATCGCCCGCAACTGGCAGGACCCTTTTTCGGGGACCGAGTGTCTCAACCATGTTCTGTATCATACATTGCGATGTATCAATCAAGGATTTGTCTTCCGATCTCCTCGGTAACTTTGATGTATCAAGCCCCTTCATTCATGGTTTCTTGATCAATATGAGCTGCCATGAGCTCTCCAAGTCGGCCCTGCAACGAAAGCTGATATTCCTTTAGACTGCCAACTGGTCGCCAGACTTGACAGAACTGGTCTTCATCCTTCGTGGTGAAACCTACCTCTAAGTGTGGGCAAACGTCACTTGTCATCGTACAGAAGACAACCGTTCATAAAACCTCAAAGCATGTCAAAATATCGTTGAATTGACCATTGCCAAAAGTGACTCCACAAATATGTCGTGCTATCTCTTTCGTTGGAAGAACTAAACGATCAATCAGGGAAAACATTTTGGGAAACCACTTGGCATCCACACCCCAGTACTGCTCCGTTCCTTTTTCATCACACTGCGGCAAAAGTCTCTTGGCCGCTCCGTGGTCAAGCCGGCCTGGCAGGGGTGTGAGGTTGTTGCTTCAAATTCGATGTTTTCCCGGTAGAAAGGACAACTCAACCAAACTCAGGTTGCTGGAGCCGTGGTACCAAACCAAACCCGTGACCTGACGCTATCGCGCCAGCCCATCAGAGCGACCAACGACGGTTATTGGGCACGATCGGTCTGAAGTCCGAAGAACCCTTTGTGAAACAGGAGAGAGGAAATAGGAGGTAACAAAACAATAACAAGTATACAAACATACGTAAACGTAAAACAGTCAGAAACCTGCATTCCTCCTTCTGAGAAAACTGTAACTTGGCATCAGTTTTTTGTTTTCAATTGTTGGTCTTTAGTCTTTGGAGTGCTGTCTTTGAAGCACATGAATCTTCAATTGGACTCAATTTAACTGCTCAACATTGTGGTTCAAAAACACTTTCAAACAAACGCTAAATCATGGCTAAATCTCTAAGCAAGAAACACATGTTTTGCCTCCAATCAACCCACATATGGTCTACGTGCGATTTAATTGCGCAAGTCTTCGAAGGCTATAAGTTCCAATTTGTTTAAAAAGAGCTATGTCATACAAACCTAGCCTGCTCAGGTTCGACTAGCCTAGTCACGTCTGATCAAACCAAACACACCCACCAACTCCCCGCAGCCACTCGGCCGCCTCTCACGCCGCAGCTTTGGCGGCTGCCTGGCTGTCCGGTAGACGGACGTGCGGACTTTGGGGCAGTGCGCCAAACAAAACAAGTTGAGACCGGAGCGTAGTATAGTATAGGCAAATATGTGTACTATATAAATATGTTCTTCAATATATTCATGATTATTCATGTATACAACATATCTATACTAAAAATGTATATATATATATAATAGTTGTATTGTGTATACTAAATAATATGCACTTCATGGAATGATTGGGCTGGAGTGACAGCCAGAACACAAAATAGGTAGTTGCACTGGCTCCCTTGCACCATTGCATTGGCTCTCGTGCTCGAGTTTGGAGGGTTATCTTTCTGCAACAAGTGGCTGCACGATGCGGCAAGCATGAACTTCCCCCTGAGAAGTAAAACTAAAACAGTAAAACATTCTTCATCTCTGGTCGTAGGACTCCCCCCAGTCTCTGCAGCTCGAGCCTTGGCCTTGGCCGCAGCGTCTGTTGCCTCGCCGGCCGCCGCCGCTGGGGTGCCCTCGGCTTCAGCACCCGCCTCGCCGTGCGCTGCGGCTGGTGACGATGGCGTTTTGCTATGTCATGATCCAGCAATGGGTAAGGACATGTCGTATGGACACCATGGTAAGGAAATGCATTACATATCGCTACCATTGTCAGAAATACAGGAACAATTGAAATAATGTAAAGCATTCTCATTGAAACATACTGCCCATATCTGCTTGTCATGTGGACAGGGGGACTTTTGTTAGCAACCAATTGGGTTGTACGTCCCGAGAATTCCAACCCATTCCTTTGAACAAATTGGTCTCTCACAAGCGACCTTCGATTTCCCAGTTGTCCTCCGTCTTGATTGGCTTTCTTATTCAAAAGAACAATTGATGTGCAGCCAATTTTAAAACATCCTGCACTGCAAGGGATTCCTCTTCGACTTACAAGGACAGTGTCAGTGTCATGTAAGTTTGATCGGTTGGACGACAAAGCCGGACCAACCTGCAAACCTTCTTGAGGTCAGGCGTGTATTTGAATAGACTAAAATAGGGAGACCTCCCACCAAAGACCCACCGAAAGAAGGAAAATAGACCAAAACCCATTGGTCGGGTGTCTCCCTACAGTATTATAATGTGCATCCGTATATGCTGTGATATATACTCCGCATGGTGACACTCTCCTTCCGGAGGGAAGCCTGAAAAACTGACGATGTTTTCGGTTGTACTGCTTTGACTACTCTTCTTATAGCTCTCCAGGCCTTAGTACGCATTTCTTCCTTTGGAAGATGTGCTTCCTTGATGGATGCTCAGCTACTATATCACAAAAGCCTCAAAAACATTCTTGCCAGTCGTTTTCCCTGCGTTGCACCACGGTGTCCTCACTTAGTGGCACTCCGGCCTCTTCCTTCTTTGCACCCCTGCCAAGGCCGCGGAGGGGGGACTACACAATTTCCCGACGGCAAGGACAAATGGAACCCTTGTAGCAAGATGTTTTTTCCTGGACGAGGGACGGGACGATGAGGTCCAGTAAGAAAATTCCAGACAAAGATTCCAGACAAAGATCGATAAGAGCATACCTGGAATGTATGCCATGTTGGTTTCAATGACCCACTGAAAGGCCCTGAACCCTGGGCTTTTTAATTCCCAACAAGCATTGAATATGACAAATGTCGTCCTCTCACTTGTCGCGACAAAAACTAATCCAACTACTATCCGAACTGCATCTATCTACATTGACGCAGCTCCAACAGAAGGCAACCACTACTTGAGGCCAGGGGGCGGAGGTCGAAAGCTAGCCGAATCGCATGTACTATTTACATAGTCGGCAAAGCATGTAGTGTTTACATGTTTTGGGAGAAAGGTTGCTATGTACATACTTTGTGCTAAAGAATGTAAATGTGACATCGCCGACTGGGAAGGGTACATTGGAACAACCCGGGTGCACTCGTTGGCAGGCACGAAGATGCGTGATCGGCAAAGCTGGGGGGTAAACTTACCCCCCGCTTGTGTATGCCTTGAGTCGCAAAGAGGGGTAAGCATTTCTGGCATCATGTACACACACTAGGTTAGCGTGATATATCACGCTGGCTTAGTGTGACATATCAAGCTTTATCAAGCTTTAAGGCACGCAGCTCATCCCACTACCAATTGCTAAAGCAAAGAAGAACTCAGCTAGCATGCTAGCTTTCGTGAAAACCAGTTCAAACCAGTTGAAAACAACTACTTACTTACCACCACCACCACCCCCTTTCCCTCGGCGAAGTGTCCACCCCCGGGTCCCCCAAGTCCGCTGCACCAACATCGCCTGAGCTTTTGCACCAACATCGCTGGAGCGTAGGAGAGGCCCACGCCGGCGCCAATCTGAGCGGAGCGGTGTCCCAGACATCGCGTGGGTGTGGGGTGGGAGGTCCGAATGGGAGGCTCTGAGGAGCTCTGAGGAGCTCGGTTTCACCTGGCCTACTTTGGTTTCAAGAGACCAAGAGACCGTGTAATGTAATAATGGATGTGTAAAGTTTCTTCTCGTGGAACAAAGCTTATCTGATAGCAAGGTCGTCCTTGGGCCATGGGTCTTTTTTGTTCGAAGGTGCTTCTTCAACGTCTCAGGACCAGCTGGTCCCGCTCAGGACCAGCGGCTTCTGCAACGTTCCGCAGGTGAACTGAACTACTCAGCATTGACCACTGACCCAGTGGGTCAGCAGTGACCTACTAATCTAGTAGGTGCCTTGGGCAGCCCCTGGGTCGACCCTGAGAAAGATCTCCAAGTCTCGCACTATTTGGGGCCCGCCCCCCGCCGAAGGGTTTGACTGTGACTGCTCCACAGACACTCCCACCCTTTCTTCCAAGCAGCTCCAGCGAAAAGCCAGAAGAGCTTGGTCAAAGGACCCGAGACCTGTCCGTGCTTCATAACCAGCTGTAGGACGTGTAGTGGTTTTCAACCTGGTAAAACCCCCTCTTCACCTCTTCTTATCCCCATCCGTTTTTCTTCGCAACATCTTTACTTTTCGAGGCTTCTCCCTTGCTGCCTCTTCACCTAGAAAAGCTACTACCATCTCAAGGGTGAAGCAATTGCCTTGCCTCACATCATCGACCGTAGCAGTGCGGCCGTAGCAGTGAAAAAACAAAACAGGCAGGGTACATCTCGTGTGCTTGTGGTTTTTCCCAGCTAGGGTATTTGGATGTATTTGGTTTGGCTTTGCACGCTGCTTCTTTGAAGGCAAGTGGACCAGCTGCCCATTGGAGGAGGATGGAGGAGGCATTATCGTTTCTTTGGCTATGCCGAAGAGAACTCTGACAAAACCTTGGTGGTTCGAATCCACCCTTGTCCGCTTTTCCTCAATGCAGCTTCTTGCCTCTTCACCTGCATTGACCACCAAAAAGCTTGTATAGTATAGACTCTTGATCTTGAGCAGTAACACATGCAGAAACCACCACAATTAGATTGTACTGAAAGAAATAAAGGTCTACCAAGTACAGTTTCCTAGAGGTCACACCCGGGAATCCACAGCATGACGGCCACTTGCCAACGGCCTTCTGCAAGGCGTGGATGTCCCGCATCGTCTTCCACTCCGCACTCCATTTGATACCTCCACGATTCCGTGCAAGAAACACTCGGCGGTTTAGGGGATCTTAAACGTATATCCAGCATGTATATGGAGATGACATCCTGTGAGCTTGGATTACATTAAGGAACCGGTACAAGAAAATTAATATCCACCAGAAAAGAATTTCCCGATAGGGAAAATCCACAAACAAGCAAAACCCTTGGGGCTGTTCGGCCACCCTGGGAGTGCTAAAGTATGCAATTAAGCAGTATATACAGTAGTAGAGGGGGTAACGAGTGGATGGCATTTTTGGCTCGGAAAAGTAGATGGAAATGGAGGGTTGAATTACTCTTACCGGGGCCCATGTGTTGTTCGAGACCGGTGTGTCCCTCCCCGTGGCCCCACGACATCGACTCTCCATGGCCACGAGGACATGGAACCGGTGTCCCTGTCATTTCTCGTCTTTCTTGCAATGCTTTTGAGCTCTATTTGCAGTGTATGCCATCTACATGTTTCACATTTCTGTTGCGCGGGGTAGATGGCATGCTAGTGGCCTAAACCACAAGAGCTCATCGCGTATGCCATCTAGGTGTGGCCAGGGCGGGGCCCATTGGAAACCCATGGAGAGCCTGACTTATAGTCAGAACATGGTTTAGCGTCTTGTGAAGAAAAGCTGAATACGCCATCTAGGTGTGGCCAGGGGTAAGCAGTGGAAGCCCCAACTATATATATATATATAACTTATAGCTGGAACGTGGTTTAGCGGCGTTTTTGAAGAAAACATGCTTCCCGTTGGACACCAAATGCCATCAATCAGTGCACATTCTTACAAAACGATATTCAAACATCCAAACGGATCAAGCGACATTTGCTGACATTTCTTGCATTTTCTTGCAATGCTTTTGAGCTCTATTTTGCATTATATGCCATCTACATGTTTAACATATTTTTAGTATTTTTTAGTGCGGGGGTAGATGGCATGGACATGGTCTAAACCACAAGAGGATGGCATATCATAGGCTCCCTCCTCATGCCATCCAAACGTTGTCCCCTATATATCCGCCGACCCCAGCCGATGGCGGGGGAGCGCGTCAAAGAACTTTGCTGGATCCGGGTCCGTGCAGTTACGTGGTTCTGGAACTGGCTTCGGGATGAATTTAGTATAATCACCCAAAACGTCCCAAAAACATGGATAGGCAAAAGCTATCTCGAACCTGCCAGCTGCTTCTACCTGGAAAAACTGGAACCTCATGATTTTACAGTGGGTCTACAGTAGAGTTTCGAGAAGACATTGAATGAAGCCATTTCACATGTTCATCTTGTTTCTTGGTGAGCTTTGGCACCCCACAGCTACCAGCTAGCAGAGTCCAGCTCAGTATAGCTCGGTCTACCGTCCGTACTCATGCTTTCATGCAGTCCCAGTGGCTGAAGGGCATCTGCACATCCGCACCACCGCCCCCGGCGCCGGGCTCCGGAAAGTCCTCGTCCATGAAACTCCTCGGACGTCGGGTGCCGTGGAGCTGCCGCTCCGGACCACCGGAGGACCGAGGACGTCGAGGTTTCGACCGTTTGAGTCGATCGAACCGCCGAATCCTTGCTGGCCCTAATCCTGGCATGACCCACGGTATCAACGATGGCAATGGCTATAAGCGTGTTTTGATGTGTTTTGTTTAGACCAGATAACACATTAAGATACATTAAATATCATATGAAAAGGATTGAACGCCAACAAAGGAGCTGGTCCCCGCCAAGGAGCTGGTCTCCAAGGTCGTCCGAGGTCGTGATGACCACTACGTCAGTGGTCACTCGGTCAGTGGCAAAAATCACCCAAACAAGTCGACCTGGTTTGGGAGTTGTGCGAAGAGTTCTTCGTCCCAAAGGAAACGGGACGAGACCTCTCGAGACCTCCCGAGACAAGTCATCGTGGAAGTGGAGTGAACACCACCTGTTTGGTCTTCGGAAAATGGTTATTTTCATCTATACAGTATGCTTTCACCACCCATACACTGGAGTACATGATTTGTCGGCTGCCCTGTTCCCTGCTACGTGCTCCCACAGGAAACGTGGCAGGAAGAGGCTGCTAAGAGGTGTAAATAGAAGCAATATGAAGCAATCGTCTCAGGAAAAAGGACTGCTTATGACGTCGTCTTGCACCTTCAAGGTCACTAACACCCCACATCTTCCCTCCAAAAAGGACACACAAAACATCCAAAAGAATCACCTTAAAGCAGTAATTCAGTGACTGCTGTGCCACTCTGCGGCTGAAAAAAGATTCTCATCCCCCCGATCACTCCGGACCCTCACCGATCTCAAAACGCCGGGTCACACGGCGTGGCGATGGAGGTCGACGGAGTCGCATTGAAGGAAGTCCTGGGTGGGGTCGACCGGGTGGAGGCCGAGTCGCACCGGGTGGAGCCCGATCTGCTCCCATCTGATGCCCGTCGCTTCGGGGATAGGGCAAAAGTTTCCAAGTCGTTTTGCACTTCTGAGAGCCCTTGAGAGCAAGGCGTTTCGTGGACTTTCGTGGCGTTTTTGGGAGGATCAATGGAGAATTGATGAAGAGAAACCATCTCAAATTGCATCTGCTGCGGATGAAAGCAAGAAGAAAAAACACCCGGAAGCCTGCAGCGGTATCAAAAAAGGATGCTGCAGGATAGTTCACCAAACAATCCTCCGGTCTCTGCAGGAATCCTTCAGTCGAAACCTTCCCCCAGTGGAGACCAGTTACCAGGAACATCCAGGAACTGGCGGTTCAACGTTGTAACAGGTTGCAAACCACGGGTTAAAACCGACCGACCTAACCACCTTCCACCACGGTCTCCGCACGTGGCCCTGGGAGACATCCACTTCAGAGAGGCTGTACCACTCATAACCACGGTTTGCCCGAGAAAACCCAGCGTTTTCTCGGCTCCCAAGCGACGGATCGGGTCCCAAATGAACTCCCCTCCCCACATTCCGACCATCTCAGAGAGATTGAAGAAGATTTGAATCAGGTGGACACTTGAGGTCACCCGGTTCCCACCTTGACACTCCCTCATGTTCCCACTGCACCGGAATTCCCACCATCACCATCGCCACTTGTGCCGACACTCGACGGGCCATCCAAGCTTCATGGTATGACGAGCACATCGACGCGCTCGCACCACATGCGGTGCTCGCACTGCTCGCACTGCTCGTCACGTCGAAGGAGTCCGGATGAAGAAGCACAGCCAGGCGCCCCATGGCGGACTCCGTGCGCCCCGTGGTCTGTGAGACTGCACCGTAGACGAATTCAAGGAAATTGCTGGGACATATGAATTCCAAGTGTCTACATCTCATGATCCTCAGTGGGATCTTAGGGTTATATGATCCAACATCTATTTCTGTACTGAGTGATGCGCGCTGACGTCCGAAGTCTCCACCGATCCCTACAGGCCCTCAACAGCCAGTCGGCCAGTCGGAAGTGACTTCTGGATGCTGAAACGGTGTATCCCGAAGAAGGCATCCTGCCATGTATCCCTGAGTATGATTCCATGGAGGTAGGAGGCTTGTGCTCCTGAAGAGGGAGTTTACTAAGTTCCACTCACGCATCGATATCTTCAAATTGGTGTATATAATGGTATAATATATATATATATATACATAACAAGATGTAGCATGATGTAGCTGGGTTCTTGCAGCTTGGTCCAAAACGCCAAACCAACCGTTCCACCGGCGTGGCCCAGGAGTTCGGGGTGATCAGGTGATGCATGTGATCGGACTGCTTTTCTGGATCAGTCCCTTCAAATGGACCATAGGCGAAGCACCTCAAAAAGACCTGTAGGGACACTGGTCTTGCAATCCACAAGTTCCAGTGGAGCACATTGGCAAAACTAGCTGCAGCTGGGCGTTATGGAGGTCGAGCAGTCTCCTCCGGTTCTAGTTCTTTTTAGCAAGGGTACTATTCCTTATGGTCAAACTACGCCACCCCCACAAACACAATTGAAAAGATCAAAGCTCTACAGATTTCTTCATGCAAAATCATGCAACGCTTGCAATTGAAGTGATCCAACTGAACCAATCAGGGGTTCCAAATCAACAACAAAACTCGACCAAGCAATCCCATCGTGGGTGACTCGTTGCAGGTAGCTCCGGTGGTCTGTGATGCAAAAAACACCTTATTCGGGTTCAACAAATCTCGGACCAAAAATCCTACAACTCTCTTGAGATGATCTTATATAGAACAACACATCACTTGCTCCTTTCCGGTTCTTCCCTGAAAATAATCTTTCATCTCCGAACACTACCAAACCGGTTTGACCCGGAGGATTGTCCGACTCTGCACGCGTCTTGGGCCCGACTTGGACCTTCAGAAGGAAGGGGTCCTGATTTCAAAACCCTTAGGCCCTTCCCAAATTGATTGGGGGCCGGAAAGGGTTAGATTTCGACTTCTCCCAGTTGGAACCCCAATCGAAACGACTCAACATCCATTGGGCCACCCATTTGTCTCACTGATCACTGATTCCATCAAAAACGACCCAATCTCGCATACATCAAGAGACTCATTTTGAATGTCTCCAGTGTGACTTGACCAGGTCAAATGCTGGGGGGATGAATGTTTTCCTGATGACCTACTGCCCAGAGAAACAAACACCTCTAAAAACATCATACCCCAAGGAAAATAATGTTTTTTGTGGAAGAACCACGCGGTGAATATTACGACGGGTCTTCTATAGGTTCACACATTCGCCCTAACATTATGTGTTCCTGTGTGTTTTTTGGCATCACGTTTTTTAATGTGTTCAGCCAAATGATCTGAAACAACATTTTTGCCAAAACAAACAACACTTTTACAGGGATGTTGATGCTCTAGGTACAGGCTGCCAAACAAATGTTCCAGTTCATTGCTACACCATATCATTGTATCTAAGCCTAAGCATAGATCCAACAACCTAATCCTGTTCCCTACCTAAAGAAAAATCATTGGGTTGCCACGGTCGTCTTCTGCCAAGGTGCCATTCACCCGTTCTTCGCAACTGGCAGGTTCAAACGTGAAGGTGGGTTCCGGGTGCCGATGGGGAGAGAATGGCAAATAGCACAAATGATCGATGGGGGTTCACAAGAGACCTTGTTTCGTGTTATTTGCCATGATGTTTTTAGATACACATCGAGTATCGTCGAGTTTTTGTTTACAAAAAATGAGTGTTCCATGGGTACATAATAATAACAATATATATATATGTAGGTATATACGCGTTGGATTCCTATGACTCCTACATGGTAGCCCCAAAAAAGTTAGTGCAAACTGTTGTCCCTCGTCAGAACTTTCCCTTGGTCTCGGGGCCGTCCAACAAACAACTTCCAGCCGGCCTTCAGGCTGTCATTGTGCGAATTTGTTGCGTTTTCCAGGATTCTTCCACAAGTCATGCGTGGCTAGGCTGTTTTTCACCAAAACATTTTACTGTTAGAGGTTCTCAATTCGTTCTTAAGATGTGTCCGCCCTTTCTGTCACTGCTGGTGTCCGGCCTTTTCCGCTGGCCACGCAGCAGTGCTATTCATTTGTCTCCCAAGTGATTTCGTTACTTTTGTCTCCCAGGTTCGGTGCCTACATTGCTGGTGTCCGCCCTTGTCCGCTGGCCATGCAACATTTCTATTCATTTGTCTCCCAGGCGGTTTCTTTACTATTGTCTCCCAAGTTCGGTGCCTGCACTGCTGGTGTCTGCCCTTTCCGCTGGCGTGCAGCATTTCAGTTCATTTGTCTCCCATCCGTCTTGTCTCCCTTCCTGTTTCCTTTTGTCTCCCTTCTAGTCTCCCTTCTTGTTGGCAATTGTGTCCGCCTTGTCTTCCTTCTTGTCGGTCAATGTGTCCGTTTTGTCTCCCTCCTGTTTCCTTTTCTCTCTCTTGTTGTCTCCCTTCTTGTTGTTCATTGTGTCCGCCTTGTCTCCCTTCTGTTTCCCTTTGTCTCCGGTCTTGTCTCAAATCTTGTTGGTCGCCGTGTCCGTCTTGTCTCCCTTCTGTTTCCTGTTTCCTTCTTGTCTCCCTTCATGTTGGTCATTGTGTTCGCCTTGTCTTCCTTCTTGTCTTCCTTGTCTCCGGTCTTGTCTCCCTTCTTGTTGGTCACTGTGTCCGTCTTGTTTCCTTTTGTCTCCCTTCTCGTCTCCCTTCTTGTTGGCAATTGTGTCCGCCTTGTCTCCCTTCTGTCTCCCTTTGTCCCCGGTCTTGTCTCCCTTCTTGTTTGTCACTATGTCCATCTTGTCTCCGTTCCGTTTCCCTTCTTGTCTCCCTTCTGTTTCCTTTTGCCTCTCTTGTCTCCCTTCTTGTTGGTCACTGTGCCCGCCTTGTCTTCCTTCTTGTCTCCATGTCTCAAAAAATGGACTTGGGAATGCTTCTTTGTTGTCCCACCTGTTTGGGGTCTACGGTGGTGTAATTGGTTTAATTTCCTGCATGTCCGGACCTTAGCTCCATAGCGCGTTGCAGCACCAACGGGGTCCTCAACGCACGAACTTCTGAACTAACGGCTTCACACGTCACGTGTTAAGGAGGATCCCTTGTCTCCATACGGGCTTGGGCAAAGTCGAATCTCTTCGCGCCCATTCCACATCATTCGAACTGCCCACGGCTCAGCTGCACTGCCTTCTGATCAGCGCAACGATACCCAACCCAAACACAAGGCTTGTCCTAGTATCCAATGCGTATCTTTTTCCTGGTGTGCCAATATCACAATGGACAATGATCGTCTTTGAGTACTTCCCTGTGTCCAAAAGCACTCGCACTGCCGAAAGAAGCTCCTGATCGGTCACGTCTTGTACGGTGGTATCCCAATGAGCTTGACGGGCACTCAGCAGGATCGATACTCAGTGCAACATGACCTCGTGAGCATAGTCGACACTGGCATGCCTGTCCCCAGTTCCGACAAACAGGAAAATGGTTGGCTTATCCTGGGACAAGGCCAATGCAACAGCATCCAATGCTCCTCCTATCGCCACATTCTTCTGCACTCCAGTCCCTGACCTCAACAGCTTGCGTTCTGCAACCACATCTTCCTCTCTCAAAGCAGCCATCTCGATCCGAGGCCTGACAATCGATTCAACAACGTCATACGAAGCATCCGGCATCAAATTTGCGTTCAGTATCTCACATGCTCAAGTCTCTGAACAGGCCAGACCTGCATATCCAACGCCAGTGAGCTGCCTCAGTGAGCTGCCGCACGATCAGCTCAGCCAATTGCACTGCCTCTTCCCGCACAGATTCTGGTGAGACATTCACGCTTCCTCTTTTTGCAAACAGGCCGGTTTCTGCAGTTTCCTGCCTATCGATGACCTCTCTCCAGTACTTTTGCCTCTTCATCATTGGACATGGACTTTGACATTGAGTCTCCCTGAAAGAGGAAGAATCGATCATAACCCCATTGGTTGGTGCAGTGACATGTGGGTGTGTGGGTAAATAAGTTATCGACGTCGAAGGTATATATATGCAACTATGCAACTCATAATGTTCGCTACTTCAAGAACCCGAGGGTTTGGAGGGTCCAAACCTCTGTGGAGGTACCTGCTTTGGGACTCACACTCCTCGTCACCAAGGTTCGCGCCTGCGGTGGCATGCAGCCCAAGGCGTTGCCACTGTAGTTCGTCAAACAACTGACATCCTCGCAGTGGAGAGGTGTGACTCATCTCTTAGATCATCATCTAAACCCCACTGGAAAGTTGTGGAAATATGTAAAAATGGATAAGTGGATTTTGATGGAAACTGTGTGGATGCCTGAGTGTTCCCTCTGCTTCGCCAGAAGGGGACCCAACAGGACTTTTGTCACGCAACCGACATACCACCCAGCACAGTGGACTTGGAGGGTTGATCTGATCCCTTCTCAACAGCTGGTTATGTGCAAACCAACTGAACTGTCTCGTTACACACTGCATGTGCACGTGCATTGTCCCAGTAGGGTCCTAGTAGGAGAGCCATTTTCTCTAGAAACTCTCGTACCATCTGGAAGATCGCTGATGGCCACCTCCGCCGCGTGTATGGCAACTGGACGCGCCCTTCGATCGGACGACGTCTCGACTGAGGAACTCTCGGCATTGTGGACGAGTTTTGGGTGCTTTCACCGTGGGTTCCACGCTAGATCCAGAACCTCGGTGATTAACAGCTCAGTGTCCCAAGCCTCGGTGGAGCTCCGTCCCCCCATTTCTATTGGATCAATGAAGAGCATATAAACTTACGAAGTCCTACCATCCGGCTGTTCGCGACTCCCGAGGCCGTTGGCCTGGAACATAGCGAGTTCTAGACCGGAAAAGGAACTATATAGATGTTAACCAGATCAAACCCTGGTTTTCGGCCGCGGTTGGGGGGGGAAACCCCATCTCCCAAACAGGTTGGGGCGATCCCCTGAACCTCCTCTGCTCGGATTCAGCTCCATCGCCACTCGCGCCGCGGACCGACGACGCTCTCCGTGTCCATGCTGGCGCCCACCAACTGCAGGGTGACCCGTGGGAGCACGAAAGAACCCAAGAGGGGCTGGTGAGAAAGTGGAACAAGTGGATGGGATGGATACTTATGGATATGGATGGATGGAATGGATGGGATGTGGCATCCAAAAAAGTGAGACACCCCCCAGAAAAACGTGGGGGGGGTTGGGCCAATCGGCTTGTTTTACAATGTGTTTTAATCATTTTTTTGTTGAACCTGGGCCTACCAGGAACTTGGTTCACTTCGCACGTTCGACACACGCACTGCCACTCTAAGAAGGTGGGGACCTACGAAATCCACTCAACCTGAGGGATTGGGAATCTGGCTGGTGAAAAATATGACAACCAGTGGGTTCAATCTAAGGTCGAACAAACAAAACAAAATCATAAATCTGATACCCATGGAGTTAACTGAGTCGTGTTCAAGTCCTCTTCATCTTCCTCTTCTTCTTCCTATTCCTCTTCATCTTCATCCTTTTTCTTCTAGTTCTTCCTCAAAAAGAGCCAAGAACACACTTCTGTGAGGCCTCCAGTTTTTGTGCTGGAGACATCCAAAAACGAATCGGCTCGGGTGAGGGTTGACCCGACCCTGGTTCTCAACCGTCGCGACTGGGCTCGGGCCAGAAAACACCCACTGACCGTTCACTGAGAAAACATCCAACATCCAACTTCTTCCTTTACCCCATGGTTGATCTGAAAAATGTTGCCAAAACTATAGGTTGCACTATAGGATCTAGTGACACCCTGGATATCATCAAGAAAACACCACTGTCACCTACGGGGTCTACCAGGCGTCGACCAACCAAAACGCTCGGGTGACACCTGGGAGGCGCAGGACATCATTTTCGGCACGTTGAGACCTGAAGACCGAGGCCCAGGAGGGTGAAACAGGGTATGGCACGGCCACTGGAAGACCCATTTTCCGAAGACTCAACAGGGGGTCCTGGTCAGCTTCCATGATTTGTTGGAAGGAGGGTAGTTGTAAGGTCGGATTTGGTCCTAGACATTGATAGTCTCGAGAATCTTAAAAATTTGGTCTCCATGTGTGGGTCGTATTGATTGATCTGCTAATACTTGTGCTAATACTTTCGGTTGCCCCCATTCAACGGTTATCCAGTATGCTGAAGGTTCGCGTTTGGGGGCTCGACCGCCATATGTGTTGTCTTGGACGTTCATTCTCCGGAAAAATCAAAAACAATTAACACGACGAGTCCATTCCTATCGGATGAAGTTCCTGGACCGGGTGATATCCTATAAACTAACATTCATTGATTAAAGCAATGGGGAACCCTGAAAACAACGTCTGTATCCGAGCAACGCGGCTCATTTCTTGTCACGTGACTGCAGTTCTGGTCGGTGTGAAAGGTCACCTTTGCCGTCTCATCGTTGGCAAACCTCGTTCGCAACACAGAAGCAAACAAATGGGGAGACATGTCATGTAAGGAGACACGTGGGGAGACAAGAAAGCAGTGGCAACGGCAACGGTTCACCAAAACGCAAATCAGCCACCCAGCCATTGAGAAGTAAAGCCCCTATAGCTTTCAGCTATCTGCGGAATGAACATGGACTTCAAGGCAGCGAAAAAAACTGCATTTCTTTAAAGTTCGTTTCAGAGGGCTTGTCAGGATTTCATGACAAGATGCAAGTTGGAAGTGACAGGATGTGAGTTGGGGGATGCAAGAGGGAGAGAAGTGGGGAGAGAAGGAAGAAATCATCTCGTGATGGGAGACAAGAGAGGAGACAAGTGCAGAGACAAGGGTGAACCGGTCTTGCGACTGAATGCCAGTTGGGAGACAGGGAGACAAGTGGGGAGACGAGGGTGAAATCATTTCGTGACAGGATGCCAACAAGAAGGATGACAAGCGGGAAGACAAGGGTGAATTCCTTGACAGGGCGCAATTCCTTGTGACAGGGCGCAATTCCTTGAAGGCTGGCTGTTTGGGGCCTAAACAACACAGCAACTCCTTTAACACATCAATCTTCAATATTATACGAAGTATATGGACCTAGAACCTGAGTGGCTTCTATTTTGGAAATCCAAGCATCCAAAACATGCTTGCTTCAAGCTAACAATCCGGGGTACTTCACCTACACTCCCCTGAAATCAATCATGGAAGTGCCACTTGTGATGGTATTTGGATTTCATGGTTCTCCAGGGGCCATGCACGTAACCAGTTCCAGAGAGCGTCATTCATCCGAAGCTGGACCGTGGCCCATCCCTCGATGCTCAGCGGCTCTAAGACATCGAGCTCGCCGCCTGGGGTGTTTGTCAGTGCGAGGAACTGGATCGGGGTGAATGAGATGAAGTCAAATGGGGGGAATAGAAATGACAAGTCTAGTGGTAGGGAAGAATAAAGAGTCCTTTTCGCCCAGTGACTTTATTGAACTATTTGTCCATTTTGCTAGTGTTATGCTTTTGCTGTCTTTTAAGATCAAATATATAACTCTTCTGAGGTTTGCTTGATTCATGGGACTCTGACCTAAACACCTTCTTCACAAATGCTTATTGAATATTAAAAATCTAATCGATTTCATTGCTACTACAACAGCAACAGCAACAACTAGGACTATTGCTACAAAAACTACAACAACTACTGCTACGGCTACTGCTACGTACTACTACGACGACCACTTGTACGACGACGACTATACTGCTACAAGTACGACGACGACGACGTCGACGACGACTACCACTACCACTATACCACTAATATCATTATACAACTATACCGACTATACCACTGCCGCTACTGCTACGGCTGCTACTCCTACTGCTACTGCTACAACTACACCTACTGCTACTACAATATACAACAACAACAACAACAACAACAACTACAACTACAACTACAACTACAACTACAACAACTACTACGCTACTACTACTACTACTACTACTACTACTACTACTACTACTACTACT